TGGGGTGGGGAGAACTTTCAGTGGAATCACCACTGCGATAAGACCGGAGGTGGGAAGCGGGTAGCTGTCAAAACCAGGTACCCCCCCCCCCCCCCCCTCCAAAAGTGCCAAAGTAGAAGAAAGGGGAGGAGGGCATAAAGCAGAACATCCCTTTTAGGGTGAAGGTTTGTTTTAAGTACCTCCTGTCATTGCAGAGTAAGGAGCAGTGGAAAATTGACAGTTTAGTCTGTTTTAATTGTAATTAAAACAGAGATTTTACGTTCCGAGACTCAGCAGACATAGGTCGGTTTAATTAATTAGTGAATGCCCTAGTGTTCTAATACTGACAACAGATTGATTGTCCTTAATAAAAAGGCTAGTAAAAGTGATGTCAGACAGCCTAAGGAGTCATTTATATAAGAGCTGCAGCAAATGTACATTTGTTCGGTGCAAATTAACCAGCTTTCACACATTAGTTTTAGGGATTTTTCTGCACAACGTTAAACAAGAAGTAGGGCCGAAGCTCTTTTGGCCCTATTTCTCCTGTGGTTCACAGGAATGGACTTAGTTCTGCACACCTGTGACCCGTTTTAAGCTGACAACGGGCTAACATCTGCTGTCAGCTGACATCATGTAGCCGGTCCAGGCTCAGGAAACATCCCAACTTTAATGTCAGGATCCACCCAGATGTCTGCACTGGCAACTGGCTCAGCCTCTTAGCAAGCAACTGAGAGCCCGAGTCAGCCACTCCCGTTCCCTCCATAGCCCAGTACTCCAGTGAGTGCTGGAGGGGCAGAGCAGAGAGCCGGAGACTGACAGTCACTAGCTCTCTGCTCAATGAAGACCGAGAACTAAGCGATCAGTGGCCTTTGATAGCTCAGTTCTCAGTCTTAGAAGCATCAGGGTACAGATGTAGTTTCAGATCCATGCTGCATCCCCCTAGATGAGTATGTATGTTTGTTATTTTAGAATCCCGAACTTCTCTTATAAAGATGTGCCTGTTGTGTAAATAGAGTAAAATCAATGTTCTCATCTGGTTGAATGCTCTTAGGCTATTTGTGACTGAATGATGTTAGGCTTTTGCTTTGAGCAATTTCTGGCCAAATATTGTTAGGCTATTGTTTTAGATTATCTTCTCTTCTGGTTGAATGCTGTCAGGCTATTGTTTTAGGCCATTTTCTCTTGTGGAAGAATGTCCTTAGACTATTTTCTTTTAGGATTTAATGTTTTTAGGTTATTAGGGAACATTACATTTCCTCTGTGAAAGATAATAGATTTGGAAAGAGAACATTTGAAGGAGCAGGATAGAAATTTTTTTTCATGTGGTTTTCGTTCAGTCTAAAACTAAATGTTAAAAGCAAACATTCTGAAGAACTTTCATTTGCCAAGTCATCCAATGTACAGAGAATTTTTGTATGAATGTTCTTAAAAACATTTGTTTGAAAATCTACTTCCGGTAGTATATGGCTAGGTTAGGTGTGATAAGCAGACTTGGCCTTCTATCTTGGAGGGCCTCTCAAACCCTTCATAACCATGGAATAGCCACACTAAAAACCTGTGTGCAACTCTAATTTCTCTATACAGTAAAGAAATCCATTAATGCGGGATTGAAGCTGTCTATAGAAGGAAGAGTGGCACTCCTCCAGGAAAGGCTTAGTTTTTTGGCTTTAGCTCAGACTTCCATCTTCTTTAGCTCCCTGCTAAGGTTTAAAGCCGGTCTACAGGTCCATTATACTAAGCTTGCAGCAGTCTAGCCGCATTTGGATTAGGGACTGAGCTGTAAGATGAGTATTATGTCCGAGCCAATAAAAGGAGGACCATCAATTAACTCCTTAAGACCACCAATGAGCAAAAGTGGTTTTAAAATGTAATTCCTTCCAAAACATTTATATTTACTTTTTTTTTTGTTGATAGCAAATTCAAAATCATCTGTTGGCCTCTTAACTCTTGAGAACTCTGTTGAAGACATATCAAGCCTACATTCCCAACTCCACCCACTTTGCTGGATCTGCCGTTAATCTTGCATTTCGGTGAAATCCAAAGAAAAAGGAATAGTGAGCATCCAGATTAAGAAGGGGCAAAGTCAGAAAGTCCAGCTTGGAGACGTTGGTGATAGAGCCTGCCACGTATGGAAACTTATTCGTAACGCAAACCCACCTGTTCCAATGCATGACTGAAAAATCTCTTTTGAGTAGACTGATGATTTACAGTAGACTGACAATGTTCTTGAGAAAAAGTCACCCCCTTTTGGTGAGCTATATATGCATACTCAAACAAAAGATAAAAATCTGAAAAAAAGAATAAACTGCTTTCTTCTCTAAAAATGATAAGGTGAGCACATAACTGGTCAATAAAGAGAAACAGCAGTTACACAAGAGCCCTCTGACCCCATAGTCACATGACATGGGCATACTGTACATAGTGTCAGCTGCCCCCAGTGTACCCTGTATGCTATCCAAACAGTACAAAACTACAGTAAATGAAGATACATCAACATCTACATAACTCAGAGAAGTTTAGGACAACTTGGAGACGCTGGCGGTATTTTACGACCACAGAACAATACCTATGTGTTCATTCTCAAATTTCTGGCTCCCCTTCATGAAATATTTGGTGACCTGAAGTTATGGTCCACATATCCGTACAATGCTAACCCCAAAGGAAGCTTTTGCTTCCTTGCCCTTTATGTTTTCTCCACTTTCTGCTCTTGCCCCTCTTTTTTATGCTCCTTATGCTACATACCCAACTACTTACCCTTCTTGGACTATACAGGAATCCTGCTACCCCTTCTTTTTTCAGAAAGTTCAGTTCTTTGATCACTTTAGATCAGTAGAATAAGAGGAGGTGGATTGGGAGATGCCATGGTAGACATTATACCACATTCGTTTTTTTCTGAATTTAGTTGGTGGTGGCCATGGATGTGCTCTCTATCTGTATTCTTATGACTGTAATACAGTTGTGTCCAGAATTATTCAACCCCCAATGCTGTAAAGGGGTTTAGGGACTATAGTGTACATTTGGAATTGTATTCAGAATCAAATCCTACAAGGACGTTGTAACTACCCAAATGCAACTAAAATGACATCAATTGTTTATGTAATACAGTAGTAAATGGTTCTTATGTGGTTTCTTCATTGCCACAATTATTCAACCCCTTAAAGACTACCACTCTGAAGAACAGAGGTTCATACAGGTGCTTTCCATCAGGTATTGAAAACACCTGTGGATGTCACCGAGCAGCAATCAAGCATAATAAGCACCAATTAGGCAGCTTTAAAATGACTGTGATACTCAGCTCCTTCTAGACATTTACTGGTGTGGTTACAAACATGGTGAAGGCAAGAGAATGGTCCAGGAAGACAAGAGAAGAGGTGATTTCTCTTCACAGGAAGGGCAATGGCTATAAGAAGATTGCAAAGATGTTAAACATACCAAGAGACACCTTAGGAAGCATCATTCGCAAATTCAAGGCAAAGGGCACTGTTGAAACGCTACCTGGTCGTGGCAGAAAGAAGATGCTGACTTCGACTGCTGTGCGCTACCTGAAGCGTAGAGTGGAGAGAAGTCCCCGTGTGACTGCTGAGGAACTGAGAAAAGATTTGTCAGATGTGGGTACAGAAGTTTCAGCCCAGACAATAAGACGCACACTGCGTAATGAAGGCCTCCGTGCCAGAACTCCCAGGCGTACCCCCTTGCTGTCTCCAAAGAATAAGAAGAGTCGACTGCAGTATGCCAAAAGCCATGTGGACAAACCACAAAAGTTGTGGGATAGTGTTCTGTGGACTGATGAAACAAAATTAGAACTGTTTGGGCCCATGGATCAACGCTATGTTTGGAGGAGGAAGAACAAGGCCTATGATGAAAAGAGAACACCTTGCCTACTGTGAAGCATGGTGGAGGGTCAATCATGCTTTGGGGCTGTTTTGCTTCTGCAGGTACAGGGAAGCTTCAGCGTGTGCAAGGTACCATGAATTCTCTTCAGTACCAGGAGATATTGGATGGAAACGTGATGCAGTCCCGTCACACACCTGAGGCTTGGGAGACGTTGGACCTTTCAACAGGACAATGATCCCAAGCATACCTCCAAGTCCACTAGAGCATGGTTGCAGAGGAAAGGCTGGAACATTTTGGAGTGGCCATCGCAGTCACCAGACTTAAATCCGATTGAGAACCTCTGGTGGGACTTAAAGAAAGCAGTTGCAGTGCGCAAGCCTAAGAATGTGACTGAACTGGAGGCCTTTGCCCATGAAGAATGGGCGAAGATACCCGTAGATCGCTGCAAGACACTTGTGTCAAGCTATGCTTCACGTTTAAAAGCTGTTATAACTGTAAAAGGATGCTGTACTAAGTACTAAGATTGAATGTCACTTGGGGGTTGAATAAAACTGATAATGCTGTGAGCACAGAAAAGACATTTGTGGTTATTTCATTATAACTGTTATGTTATATTTGTCTGACCTACAAGTGCCTCTTTAATGTAAATGTAAGCAAGATGACTGAATGATCAAAAGCAATGTCAAACTGGCCAAAACACTCAATTTCAGTGGGGGTTGAATAATTTTGGACACAACTGTACATAACCTATATAAGATGTGCATCAGTGTTATCTATAAACCCTATCATCTGCACGTATATCTTGTCAAGGTATGTTATCAAGAACTGAGGAAAAAAACTGAAGAAAAAAAAAAAAACGTCAACATAAAATGATTCTAGAACTATACAAACTTTGCATAGTACAAATACCACACAAATGAAAAAATATATAAAGAGATAACATAAAAAGTCTGTGTACAGCTGTGATAAGTGAACAAATCATGTTGTGCTGTGCCTTTAAATCATTAAAGGCACAGCGCAACATAATTTGGTGTCAACATAAAACGACTAACAAGTTTAACAATCAAAGCTTCTGTTCAGAACATTCCGAAACACAATATTAATTCTCCATGTGGTGTCCCATACAGCTCAATAAACCACAAGCTAATGACATTACAAGGACAGTTTGGCCACTTACCGATGATTCCGCTGTCTTTGCTCTCCAGGGTGGAGCTTGGGCTGCTGATGGTTCCACTGGGACTGGTTCTGTTTGCGGCTGTTTTGCTGATGCAGCTGTTCAGCGTGGAGCAAGGACTGGCGGTGCTTGGAGAAGCTGTGCTGTTTGTCAGCGTTGAGCAGGGACTTATCCCGTGACTTGTCACTGTACACTGCAGGAAATCAACCATTAATTACCATGGCACACGATGCCTGCTAAGAAAGATGCATCCAACAGAGACACTTTCTCTTTGTTAGCACATTGACATACAAAATATATATTTGTAACCCTTTATTCTGCACAGCAACATTCTTCAAGGGTCAGACATTTAAGGGTTACACCAGCTTTAAAGTTGAACTCTAGGTATTAATTTGTTTGCATAGTTACATTGGTTCACCTTGGACCAATGTGGTATGCATACACCATAACTGAGGGATCGGTGTGGAAGCTGAGAATCACTGTAGTAGTCACTGCTACTATAGTGATTACTGCTGATTTCTGGGTCCAATGCTAAGCAACATCCTGCTGCATAGTAACCACAGGGAGTCATGTTCACTTGGCACAGGCACCATTCACACAACGCTGTGCATTCAATCAGTTTCAATCAGAGAACGCCATGCATTCATTGAGAAAAATTGAGCTGTTCTGTGAATGGCGGAGAAAAATGAGCAGCACTGCAACCCCCAGACTCCAATCTGAGGAATAATAAATGCTGGTACTCTGGCTCATAGCTCCTTCAAGCTTAACCTCAGACAGGAGCTAATACATTTCAAGGAGCTAATGTATTTCATAGCTCATGCTATGATTAAGGCTCTACGGGGCTGAAACGTGTTAGACTCCTTGGCTGTTTTTTCCAACTTTTTTTAACCCCTTGGCGCCGGTGCCTCCCAGCCCTTTAAGGGTTTCAGAAGCCAGGAGGCGGGGTGGGGTTTTAGGGTCATGTGACCACCGTGATTCGCTGTCACGGCTACAACATGATCGGGAAAGGTTCCGATCGAAAGAGATCAAGACCTTCCGTGAGTACCGGACATGTGTGCTGGGAGCGTGCAGGGCACGCGCTCTCAGCACATATGTTTTTCTTAATTGCACACAAATGTGTGGCCACTCGGCGTCAAGGCGCAGACACCGGGAGGCCGCACATTTGCGTGCGGCCGCCGCGAAGAGGTTAATAAATGGACTTTTAGCTTGTGGATTTAACATTGTTGCTGGCTTTTTGGTGAAATATGTTCTGTGAATGGCACCTGTGTTGAGCAAGCAACCTCCTGTGTTCACTGTGCAGCAGGGCAGCCGCCCTGTGAAGGACCTGGAAGACATTGGCAATCACTGTAGTACCCATGACTACTACAGCAATTCCCCGCTTCCACATGCATCCCACAAGTATAGCATATGCATACTTATATTGTTCCAAGCTGGACCAATGTAATTATGGAAGAAAATCCACACCTGGAAATCCGCTTTAACAAAATGCTTGAACACACTCCACCAACCAATCAAACTGCTGCAGTGCAATAGTTTTTAACATGACTGTGTGTATTTTCTATCACTAGGATGAAAAGCTGAAAAAACAAAAAACAGTCCATAAAAAAGAGAATCTGGATACTTACCTGTCTATCAAATAGCATGCTGCTGCTGGGCACTGTGGTTTCACCGGTCTGTCACCACTGTGATTGGAAGGGACATAACCACAGCATACAGACTGGGACTCGCTATCTGGCACATGCAAAACTGTTGGACAGCATTGGTGCCCATGGCTATGCAAAAAGCAAGACACTGGACATGCCCTGTGCCAGCCAACAGGTAACAATTCAACATCTTCTTTTACAGGCTGCAGCTGTTTTAACTTTAAAGAGTAAATCTAGGCACACCCTCTTTGAATGGGTAGGGGTCATTGCCTGGATTATATGGCATTTCTTGTACTGGTAACTGAAAGAGAAATTGAGGTAACTCTCTAGTCAGTTTTAGGCTCCATTCACACTTGTAGGACTCCAAAGTTGGGCGACTTTGGAGTGAAACTTTGGATGGGTGCAACTTAGATGTGACTTGTCCCTCTGCAAAGTCTGACCAGTTGTTGCATGTAAAACATTCAGGTATGACTTTCCTGCAACTTTTAAGGGTTAACATTGAAGCTTATGGCTCTACAGTTGCATGAAAGTCAGACCAAAGCAGTGCAGGAACTACTGTGAAGTCACAGCAACTTTAGGTAGCACATTTATGAATGGTTATCACTGGAAAACATGGAGTACGACTTGTCATGCGACTTTGATGTCCAATGTCACATGACAAGTTTTCCATTCACTTCCTGTAGCGATGACCATACAAAACGTGAAGAGGATTTCCCCAATAAGGATACAGACCACTCCTGTCCAACAGACTGCACAGGAAAACATCAAAGGAGTCATAGACAGCAATAAAAACCAGCCTGTAGAAGGGCTAGGCGACTTTATAGTTTTGAAAATGCATTCCTTCAACTTGCATTTAGTATATTGCACAGAGGTAAATTTTTCATAACCAACTATATAAGGTACCATATTACACTGCAAAGCACTAACGTAAAAATACCCAAACGACGACTATATCTGATTGGATCCAAGTTTTTCGTTCAACTCCTTCCTGTTCAGGAGGGTGCCAAAAGGACCATCCATGTAGCAAATTTAAGGCCAGTTTATCAGGAAGCTGAAATTTGCATGGTGTATGGGCAGCTTAAGAAGTAAAGCACCAGCAAAACGTGTTTGCTTGGTCGTAATAGGCTCTCATATATGTAAATGATTTATATTTACCGAATATGTTTAGTATTTTACAGTCGTGTGATAATTTTTTTCCATTGGCACATGTAAACTGTGCTCAGCAGGACATGCGGGCTGAACCTGTTCTACAGATAAGGACCGGTCAAGTGAGCAGAAGAGACGGTGGTTTCCGGCTTCTGCCGAGCACACCTACACAGTCCCTGACAATCTAAAACAAACACAGAATTTCAACACTCCATACTTCAGCTTGCCTTGGACCTGAACTCCCTTATCTGTATTTGCCAATATCCTCATTCTGTCCTATTACAGCTTTATTTACACTCCTCTTCTAACAAGGAAGCAGCAAGCTACCAGCTAATTAGCTGATGACAGGTTCTCACAGCTTGTGAAAAGACAAGCAGCCATCTTTGATCCTAAGACAGGATGACTAGAACTGGAGACAGCAGTCAGCAATTAGCTTGCTGGGTTGTTTGCCTGGCCACCTGGAAAAAAAAAATAAAACATTGTGCGGAAAGCTGCTCAAACTTTATGCAGGTTGAACACCTTCCTTCCAGGTTTGAAAGACACTTGTGATTGGTGGAGGGGTGAAGTAAACACGAGCCTGAACCAAATTTTTACTGCCCCCTCCCCAATGGTTCCCCCTTAAGTTGCAATTGTAGCAGACGGGCGCACACATTTGCATCATGGTGCAGCAAGAATTATCCACCTAGCAGTGTGTGGCAGGCAGTACCACCCTCCAAATATGACTCATTCAACTGGTTGCAGCACAGTGGTGCAGGTTTTCAGGGCTCAAAAATATATACGTCACCTCCTCACTACTTTGAAAAGTGAAGAGGGCACCACTAGTGCGAACAAGCCCAAAGGGACACATCAAAACATGGGCTCATTCACACCAGCACACATGCTAAACTGTGCACTGAAGTACGTTGTTTAAAGAGCAGTTCCACCTTAAAAATAATAAATAAAAGTCAGCAGCTACAAAAACTGTAGCTGCTGACTTTTAAAATACAGCCACTTACCTGTCCCTCGGTCCAGCGGTGTCCTCACCACTGCTGGTTTCACCGGCCGTCTTCTCTCCCTGGCGCCGACATCTTCAGTGTGGGCACCTGGCTGTGACAGTTTGCGGCTTCACAGCCGGGTGCCCACTGCACATGAGCGAGTAGCGCTGCGCTTTGTGAATGGCCCTGTAGTCTTCTGGGACCTGTCGTGTGTCTCAAAAGACTACGGGGAGGACAACTTCCACTTCTGATCACTTAGGCGATCGCAGTGGAAGTGGGAGTGAATACCTGTCAAATTCGAGTACCCACTCAACTCCCCAAAGGTGCCAATCCTAAATGGGGAGCGGGGGACAAAGGCTTAAAGCAAAACTTCCTCTTTTGGGTGGAGCTGCACTTTAAGATGCTTTTCAACATTTTTGGGGGGGTTTTTTTGAGCTGTCAAAAAAATGACAATATATTCATCTCTATGCAACGTGCTGCATTTTTACGCAGTGCAAACCACAGCACTCCCAGACGTAGCTCTAAGGAGCAGGGCCCTCTGATTCCTCCTGTATGGAATTGTATTGTAAATTGTACTGTCTGACCTCATGTTGTAAAGCACTGCACAAACTGTTGGCGCTATATAAATCCTGTATAATAATAATCACTGCACATGTACGGCATGAAAGGGGCACATAGAAAACAATTGTTTTCTATGTGCCATTGTATTAAGCCTTTGTTGATCTGCAAAGCTCAAGGACATGGTGTGAATGAGTCCTTAGACATGACTAGTGCACCAGAGATCGGTTCCTCCAGATCCCCTTACCTATAACTCTTATTTAAATAAAAACATGACACCGATTTGGAGTAAATGGCCAACATGGCCTTTTATTATTAACCACACAATTTTAAACACCAAACCAATTCCTTATACAGAAACATACCAATTTGTTGTTGGTCTTCGAAGGCCCCATCCACAAAATTATCCAAAATGCACCTGCGGACCCCATATACCAACCGGCCTCCAGCCGCAACCACCCAGCTCGGAGACAACCTTACCGTCCGCAGTGCAGCACCACCACATTCCAGTTAAACCTTGGTTAACTGGAATGTTCCCCGGGCACACCATACCACCGATGGGTCCCACACCATTCTCTGTACCTTCCAGATAATACCCGCCTCCAAAGACCAACAAACCGCCCCTGAACCGCAGAACCCCCGTTCCTCATAGAAGAAACCAAAACTCACCAAATAGGGAGGGTGGGAGGGAAGCTCACTCACCAACGTCCAGCTTCCGAATGACCGCCCCCCACCCAGACCACCCCACCCAAAGGTGCCAGGAGACCACCCACGTTCTCCCTCTACCAACCAGCTCCCACCTATGCATTTTTCAAACCCCCTGCACTGACTTAACCCTTTCTAGCCTTCCTTACCCACTCTAGGCCTAGTCA